GTATGTATCTGTATGCATGCATTTTTGTCTCTGTATGCATGTGTGTAACTGTATGTCTGTATGTCTTTGGATATACGTATGTATGTATGTGCCTTTGTGTCTCTGTATGCCTGTATGTCTTTGTATGCATGTTTCTGTATGTATGTGTCTGACGGAATGCCTCTGTATGTATGATTGTATGTGTCTGTATGTGTCTGTATGTCTTTGTATGCCTGTATATATGAAGGTGTCTGTATGACGGTATGTCTCTGTATGCATGCATGTCTCTGTATGCGTGTATGTATGTCTTTATATGCCTGCATCTCTCTGTATGCATGCATGTCTCTGCCTGTATGTCTCTGACTGTATGATTATTTCTGTGTTTGTATGACAGTATCTGTATGACTGATGGTGTGACTGAAAAATGATGCCTGTGGCTTGGGAGGAAATACACACAGGTCAAGATCTATTTATTTTTTAGAGGAAGGTGTGGGCGCCAAAATGCATCTTCGCCTGTGTAACTAAAAATCCTAGCACTGGCCCTGTTTGACAGATATTAAATGGACACTTGAAACATCAGAACTGTTTTGGTGCAAAGAGATTGGCCCTGCAATGTATCACTAGCTTACTGAGAAAATACTGTCTTTTGCACCAGAACGGTTACATTGCTTCCTATGGCCACATCTAGTGACTGGCATACAGACACAGGCCACTAGAGCTACTTCCTGTTGCAGTCCTGCAATCTTTGCAGGACTGATGTTTATCAAAGTCTTCATCTCCTATTAGGAGATGCTGATTTGTGTAGCATGGTGATTGGCCTATGGGAAGCATTGGATTGGCTGAGATAACTGTAATAACAATATTGGCCTTGGTGGAACAGCGGCTGCAGCAAGACAGGTGTGTCATGGCATATACTGTATGGTTAGTAAAAATGCTATTACATTTTTCAGGGGGGCAATAATCTAAAGAGTGAGGAAAACACTGTAATGTTAGAAATCCATGTTTTTAGTTATATCGTTAGAGTATTAATTTAAAGGCTTTATTTTCTGTGCTGAGGCATAATGATGTATTATAAATACACTTTAATTATTTAAAGCACTACACTATTAAATAAGTCATGTTGTGAGTGTGCCCCAAACAATGTTTTGGTATGCAATCTATATTCATCCAAAGATGCAGTGTGCTAATTTATTTCAGGCAACATTGCTAAAAAGTTCCACTTTCCTCATTTCTTGTCCAGTGAGGAAAAAAGTTATAATTTGATTCCCTGCTGGTTTTGAATGTTTGTATAACAAAAAAAAAAAAAAAAAATCCAGAAAAATGCATGTCAAAAAAGTTATAAATTGATGTCAATAATTGAAACAAGTATTTGACCCCTTCGACTTAGTACTTGGTGGCAAAAACCTTGTTGGCAATCACAGAGGTCAGACGTTTCTTGTAGCTGGTCACCAGGTTTGCATACATCTCAGGTGGGATATTGTCCCACTCCTCTTTGCAGCTCCTCTCCAAGTCATTAAGGTTTCGAGGCTGATGTTTGGCAGCTCGATCCTTCAGCTCCCTCCACAGATTTTCTATGGGATTATGGTCTGGAGACTGGCTAGGCCACTCCAGGACCTTAATGTGCTTCTTCTTGAGACACTCCTTTGTTGCCTGGACTGACTGTTTTGCGTTACTGTCATGCTGGAATACCCACTTTCACCCAGATCTCCTCTGAATCATTCAGATGTTCATTGGCAAACTTCTGACAGGCCTGTACATGTGCTATTTTGAGCAGGGGGACCTTGCGGTCACCGCAGGATTTCAGTCCTTCACGGTGTAGCGTGTTACCAATTGTTTTCTTTGTGACTATAGTACCAGTTGCCTTGAGATCATTAACAAGATCCTCCCGTGTAGTTCTGGGCTGATTCCTGATTCCTCTTCCTCATGATCTTTGAAACTCCACGAGGTGAGATCATGCATGGAGCACCAGATCGAGGGAGACTGACAGTTATTTTGTGTTTCTTCCATTTGCGAATAATCGCACTAACTGTTGTCACCGTCTCACCAAGTTGCTTGGCGATGGTCTTGCAGCCCATTCCAGCATTGTGTATGTCTACAATCTTGTCCCTGACATCCTTGGACATCTGTTTGGTTTTGGCCATGGTGGAGAGTATGGAATCTGATTATTTGCTTCTGTGGACAGGTGTCTTTTATACAGGCAACAAGCTGAGATTAGGAGCATTCCCGTTAAGAGAGTGCTCCTAATCTCAGTTCGTTACCTGTATAAAAGACACCTGGGAGCCAGAAATCTTGTTGATTGATAGGAGATCAAATAATTATTTCACTCATTGAGATGCAAATCAATGTATAACTTTTCTGACATGCGTTTTTCTGGATTTATTTTTTTGTTATTCTGTCTCTCACTGTTAAAATACCTACCATTAAATTTATGTACTGATCATTTCTTTGTCAGTGTACAATTGTTCAAAATCAGCAGGAGACCAAATACTTTTTTCCCTCACTATATGTAAGGACACCAAAGAAAACAACGAAGAGCATATGTTGTTCATGATCTTCTAAAGTTTACTGATATTTTTCTTCCATATTGGAAATTTTGCTCTACTTTTTGCAAGTAGGATTTCAACTCATCTGATTTTTATTGCCTAATGCAAGTGTTTCAAAAACGCAGCCTACAAGCTGCATGCGGCCCACAATGGACATCTTTGCGGCCCTGCGAACTTGCGAGTACATACTTAGTGTTAAAGCAGAGTAGGCACCTGCTTTCTCCACATTGCAGGTGCCTACTTTGCTAAAATTTACCCAGACGGGGAGGAAGCAGGACACTGGAGGAGCTCAGTCTTCCTGCTCCTCACTGCTTCCGCGCGTGCGCCGTCTGTAGTGATACCGGGTGCCAGAATATGACATCATTCTGGCACCCAGCATCACTAAACTGCAAGTAAGCAGCAGGAAGGAGATTTTCAAATAGAAGATCCCCACTGGACCCAAGGGAATGATGTGAGTGTGTGCACAAATGTGTAAATGTGCCTGTCTGTCAGTGAGTGAGTGAGTCAGTGTGTCTTTCAGTGAGTGTTACTGTCAGTGAGAGTGTGTGTCATTCAGGGCCGGACTGGCCCACCGGGATACCAGGAAATTTCCTGGTGGGCCGCTGCACCTGGGGCTGAGCTGACAGCCCTTATCATTGCTCAGGCTCCTGTGATCCCGGCCGGCCATGTGCGAGCTGTGCGGCCGCACAGGACCCCATGGGAGCAGGGGGAGCCAGGCGGCCGGCACAGCTCACACATGGCCGGCATCATTAAAAAAAAAAATAAATAAAATTGCGACGGGGCGGAGCTAGCGTGCGGCAGGGCTTAGCATGCAGAGGGGGCGGAGCTTAGCGTGCGGCGGGGGGCCTAGTTAATGCAGCATCGGAAGCAGGAAGGAGTCCCTGCTTCCCCAACAAGCCTCCAGGAGCTCCAAGGGATGTGAATGTAAGAAGCAGGTCAGTGTGTGACTGTCTGCCCGTGTGTGTGTGTGTGTGTGTATGTATGACTGTCTGCCCGTGTGTGTGTGTGTGTGTGTGTGTGTGTGTGTGTGTATGTATGACTGCCCGTGTGTGTGTGTGTATGTATGACTGTCTCCCGTGTGTGTGTATGTATGTATGACTGTCTGCCCATGTATGTATGACTGTCTGCCCGTGTGTGTGACTGTCTGCCTCAGTGTGTATGTATGACTGCGTGTGTGTGTGAGACTGTCTGCCTCTGTGTGTGTGAGACTGTCTGCCTCTGTGTGTATTTATGACTGTCTGCGTGTGTGTATGTGTGTGTGTGTGTGTGTGTGAGACTGTCTGCCTGTGTGTATGTATGACCGCGTGTGTGTGTGTGTGTGTGACTGTCTGCCTCTGTGTGTATGTATGACTGTCTGCCTGTGTGTGTGTATGTGTGTGTGTGACTGTCTGCCTCTGTGTGTATGTATGACTGTCTGCCTGTGTGTGTGTATGACTGTCTGCCTGTGTGTGACTGTCTGCCTCTGTGTGTATGTGACACTGTGTGTATGTATGTCTGTGTGTGTGACTGTCTGCCTGTGTGTATGACTGTCTGCCTGTGTGTGTGTATGTATGACTGTGCTTCTGTGTGTAAGTATGACTGTGCCTCTGTGTGTAAGTATGACTGTGCCTCTGTGTGTAAGTATGACTGTGCCTGTGTGTGTAAGTATGACTGTCTGCCTGTGTGTGTAAGTATGACTGTCTGCCTGTGTGTGTGTATATGACTGTCTGCCTGTGTGTGTGTATATGACTGTCTGCCTGTGTGTGTATATGACTGTCTGCCTGTGTGTGTGTATATGACTGTCTGCCTGTGTGTGTGTATGACTGTCTGCCTGTGTGTGTGTATGACTGTCTGCCTGTGTGTATGACTGTTTGCCTGTGTGTGTGGCTGCCTGTGTGTGTGTGTTTGACTGTCTGCCTGTGTGTGGCTTTTGGGGTGTGTGTGGCTGTCTGCATGTCTGTGTATGTGGATGTCTGCCCCTGTGTGTGTGTGGATGTCTGCTAGTGAGTGAGCTTGTGTGTGTGTGCGTGCATCTGCTAGTGAGTGAGCTTCTGTGTGTGCGCGCGCACCTGCTAGTGAGTTTGTGTGTGCGCCTGCTAGTGAGTGAGCTTGTATGTGTGTCAGTGAGCTTGTCTGTAGGGAGCATGGGTGTGTCTGCTCCTGTCTGTGGTGAGCATGTGTGTGCAGTGAGCTTGTCTGTAGTAAGCTTGTGTGTATCAGAGTTTGTCTGTGTGTGTCATTGAGATTGTCTGTCAATGAGCCTATTTGTGTGCATCAGTAAGATTGTCTGTGTCTGCATGTGAGTATGCTTTACTGTATAATTTTATTAAATAGGGCTAATCCCTTAAGTCCATTGGTGGATTCGGTGGGTGTAGATCCTTTTTCTTCTTTGATTAGAAAACCACCTCCATCAGCGGTTTCTGACCATTCCAAGCCAAAAAAATAAAATAAAAAAATAAATTAAAAAAGCCCCTTTTCAGCGAAAATCGGAAATAGTCATCATCGTCGAAACCGGAAGTGACGTCACGGACTCGTCTGCGTTCCAGTGAGGTTGTCTCCATAGCAACCGGATGTGATAGTTTCCTTTATATTATACACACTGTGGCTATCACATCCGGTTGCTATGGAGACAACATCACTGGAACACACATTGGAACGCAGACGAGTCCGTGACGTCACTTCCGGTTTCGGCGATGACGATTTCCGGTTTTCGCTGAAAAAAGGCGCTTTTTTCGGATTGGAATGGTGAGAAACAGCTGACAGAGGTGGTTTTCTCCTCCAATCAAAGAAAAAGGATCTTCACCCACCGAATCCACCAATGGACTTAAGGGATTAGCCCTATTTAAGGACACAGGGAAGGGGGTTGTTTTAGGATATGTTTATTTTGTACTTTGTATCTATACATGGTGATTGTTTTATTGCAGTCCCTGAGGAAGTTCATAACGAACGAAACGCGTAGGACTACTTTTCTGCATCCATATCCTATGCTGAATTGGTGACTATATATATTTTTATTGAATACATTTTCCTTAATTTTTTAAACCCTGACCTGTGGATGTCTTTTGGTGGAATAAGAATTTGGAGGTGAACAGAAGGATTGTTTGGCCCCCCATTATACCTGAGGAGGCACCCTAAGAGCGTTTATACCTACTTTAATCTAGTGAGTGCAACCGATTACTGCGCACAGAATATTGTATTTTGTAACAATATCACACCATGTTTTGTCCTAGGTTTTCTCTGTAGATTTACACATCCATTTCCCGAATTGCTTTTGTTGCTGTTTCTTATAAAATATAACAGATTTGCACTGTAAAACATTTATAAATTGGAGCTGTGTGTAAACCTGTATCATATTTGGTATACCAGGTATAACAATTAAAGCCATGTTTTGCCTGGTATGACAGTATCAGTTCTCCCACTGGCTTAACGTCATGGATGCAGGAGTGAGACCAGCACAACTCACAGTGTTTAACATGTGTGAGTATATCCTGGTCTTCTATAGATATACAATTATAGTTAGTATGTAAAAAATTAAAAAAAATATTACAGTCAAGTGTAACAAGAGACACAGCCAGAAATGCAAACACACATTAACCTTTGGCCTGTATAAGTAGCCCGGACAACAGGTGGGCAGCTATGAACTCACAGCAATGTGCCATAATAAACCATAGAATTCCCAGTAACTTTCAGTCAGAATGTCTGATAGGCTTGGACGAGGTGGGACAGAATTCAGAGTAGGGTTTAAGGAGTCAATACCTTTTTTTTTTTTATTAATGAATCAATTTCAATGATATTACATGCAACGAATGCTTAACATATGGAGATTTGTTGGACTGGGTGCGGAAGATTACATCTTTTATATGAGCGGAATTTGATGCCTCGCAAAATCGGGGTGTTTCGATTGCATTGTTCTTAACATTAGTTAATGTTTGAGGCTCTAGTGCTCGAAATTCTGCATAGATATTCTCCTTGAGCTGCTCATGTGTACGCGGTTTGTTCTCATACACCCGATCCTTCATATATCCTTACAGGAAGTAATCGGGAGCTGAAAGGTCAGGCGCACCTGGCGACAAATTAATCTGGAAATTTCTTAAAGTATCCACTTGCCTGACAGTTCTCAGTTTTTAAAATAAAACTCTACTATTTTTACTCCTTGTTCCTTCGTGATATTACCCATGATCAATCTCTGAAGACTCGGTTTTAATATCTACCTGAAACAAAAAAAAATTAGCTACCAACAAACAAGTTATTCATCTGTCAAATCCTACTCTGAATTTTGGCCTAACCTATAGTAGAGGCAGCAAGTGAAACTGTTTGGCAGTACTGTGCATTAACAAACTTAATGTAATGTACTGTAAGTTAGTATATCTTCAAAATGAAATTCCCAGCAACAAAATTAACAGTGATGAGTAGCCTGCATGACTATTAAATATAATGTATATCCCACACTTTACCCTTATAGCAGTGTGTATAATTAAATACCTAATAATAATAAATAATAATAATATCAGTATTTATATGATACATTTGCCTGACAAAAAAACCCATGGAATTGGCAGTGAGTATAATTACTATATAGATATGCTGTGGGTCTGACAGTCTGGCATAGTTGAATAGTGAGTATGACTAAATATATGACTGCGGCAAAGCAACAAATTAACAGTAATGGCAGAAAGAAATTATATTACAATTACACCACAACATCCACACATTAAAAGGACCAGTATAGTGCCAGGAAAACATACTCGTTTTCCTGGCACTATGGGGTCTCTAGGTTCCCCCCACCCTCTGGATCCCCCTGCCCGCTGGGGTCTAGAGGGGGAAAGGGGTTAAATCTTACCTGTTTTCCCCCGCCGGGCTCCCTCGGCGCGGGGAACTCTCTTCCTCCTTTTCACCGTCATCGGCTGAATGCGCATCTGCGGCAAGAGTCGCACGCACATTCAGTCAGTCCATAGGAAAGCACTACTCAATGCTTTCCTATGGACGCTGGCGTATTCTCACTGTGAAAATCACAGTGAGAAGCGCGGAAGCGCCTCTAGCGGCTGTCAATGAGACAGCCGCTAGAGGCTGGATTAACCCATAGGTAAACATAGCAGGTTCTCTGAAACTGCTATGTTTACAGCAACAGGGTTAAACCTAGATGGACCTGGCACCCAGACCACTTCATCAAGCTGAAGTTGTCTGGGTGCCTATAGTAGTCCTTTAACCCCTTCAGGACTGTCATCTGCATTTTTGCGTTGCCGACCGGTGATGGTCCTGAACCGTCCTAACGGTCCAATGTACTTACCCGATCGCCGTCATTCCCCCGGCGGCGATCAGTGTTGCTCCCCTGTTGTGGGGAGACTGCCTGCAGCCCAGACAGTCTCCCCATGGTGGATTAGGACCCCTGGGGCAGTGTGATCGCTCAGAGCGATCACTTGGTCACAATAGGTGTCCATGTGTCTGCCTGCAGGGGGACTGCCTGTGCTGACAGGCAGTCTCCCTGCTAGTGTAAAATCATTGAAAAATAAATAAATAAATTAAAGTTAAAGTTAATTAAAAAAAAAAAAATATATATATATATATATATATATATATATAATGTCATACTAAGTGTATTTTTATATTACTATGTACATATATTAATATAAAAACACAGAAATTAATTAAATTACACACGTATATATATATAATAACTATATGTATTGTGTGTAATTATTATAAAATACAAATAAGTAATTTAAATTAAATAAAAACATGTAAAAATAATAAAAATTTAAAAATATATATCTATATGAAATTTTATTCTAACTGTATTTTGATAGTAAATATATATATATATATATATATCTCAAAATACACTTAGAATGAAATTGGATATATCTATGTATATATAAATATAATACAAAATATACATATGTCCATGTACAAAATTACTTAATTATATAATTATACAGGTAGACTTCAAATATATAAATGTGCATATATTTAAATTCTATGTGCGTATTTATGTAATATTTTTACATAATTAAGTAATTTTATTGATTGCAATTTGAGGGACCTGCCTGCCAACCCATGTCGAAAGTCCAGAGAATTTAATTTGCTAGCACTATATTTTACCCTGTAACTTTCTATGTGTCACATATTCATCCGCTTATAGAAATGTGGTTAATGACATTTACTGTCCACACAGGAAAAGTTGTGCCGAGCAGCAACCTAATCCACAGAAGGGTTAATGCCGAGCAGTAATTGTGCAAATGAAACCTGGTGTCATGTATTCATCCACTTAGAGAAAAGTGATTAATGACATTTACTGTCCACACAAGAAAAGTGCCGAGCAGCAACCTAATCCACAGAAGGGTTAATTATGCAAATGAAACCTGGTAACTGACTTTGGGGTCAAAGGCCGGTTACAGCCTATCAGAACTAAAGGAGGGGTATTTAGGCCCAGTTCTCAGCCTGCTCAGTGCCCTGTCGTGCTTTCCCTTGTGGTTGTCTGAGAGCGCATTCCTGTTTATAGTTTTCTACCTGGTTTTTGACTTTGGCTTTGTTTATTGACTTCTCTATATTCTGGTATCCTGACTCCTGGCTTTCCTCATCGCTGTGTCCCTTTCTGTGTTCCCTGACCTCGGCTAGTATTTTTGACTATTCTTTGTACGTTAAATCCGGCCATTCTAAGGACTGGTAATACGTTACTTATTTGTCATCCGTGCTGTACAGTTCTACGTGCTGGATCAAACAGTAATCCTGACACTATGACACCCTAAAACCTGTACATGGGGGTACTGTTTTACTTGGGAGACTTTACTGAACACAAATATTAGTGATTCAAAACAGTAAAACATATCACAGCGATGATATTGTCAATGAAAGTGACTTTTTTTGCATTTTTCACACACAAACAGCACTTTTACTGATTATATAATTGTTGTGATACATTTTCCTGTTTTGTAATACTAATATTTGTGTTCAGCAAAGTCTCCCGAGTAAAACAGTACCCCCCCATGTACATGTTTTATAGCGTTTTTGAAAGTTACAGGGTCAAATATATGGGTCAAATATTTTTACATTGAAAAAGGCCAGGTTGGTTACGTTGCCTTTGAGAGCGTATGGTAGCCCAGGAATGAGAATTACCCCCATGATGGCATACCATTTGCAAAAGAAGACAACCCAAAGTATTGCAAATGGGGTATGTCCAGTCTTTTTTAGTAGCCACGTAGTCACAAACACTGGTAAAAATTAGCATTCAATTTAGTTTTTAACTTTTTTCACACACAAACAAATATGAATGCTAACTTTGGCCAGTGTTTTCGACTAAGTGGCTACTAAAAAAGACTGGACATACCCCATATTGGATACCCTGGGTTGTCTACTTTAAAAAAAAATATGTACGTGTGGGGTGTTATTCAGAAATTTATGACAGATAATAGTGTTACAATGTCACTATTGATAAAAAAAAATTTAAAAACTGTATGTTTTGAAACCGCAATATCCTACTTGTACCTATAGCCCTATAACTTGCAAAAAAACAAACAAAAAAAAAGCATGTAAACATTGGGTATTTTTAAACTCAGGACAAATTTTTGAATCTATTTAGCAGTTTTTTTCCCCCATTCGCTTTTGTAGATGAGTAACAAGATTTTTAAAGTAAAAGTAAAAAAAAAAGTATTTTTTTCAATTTTTCATCATGAGATTATATAAATAATGGTATGTAAAGA